CGCGGACCAGGGACTGCCGGCGCCCTGGCCTCGGCCGGCTTCGGACTCGGGCGCGGGGGGAGGAGGAGAAGAAGAGGTGCCTCGCGGGGCCGCTCCTTCCCTTCCCCCCTCGGGCCCCGGTGTTCGCAGCGATGACCCTCTTTCCTTTCAGGCGAGCCCAGCCAGATCCCTTCAAAGATGGCGCTCTCCAAGAGGGAGCTGGATGAGCTAAAGCCCTGGATCGAGAAGACGGTGAAGCGGGTCCTCGGCTTCTCCGAGCCCACCGTGGTGACTGCTGCGTTGAACTGCGTTGGGAAAGGAATGGATAAGAAGAAGGCCGCCGGTAGGTCCTGGGAGGGGGCTCTGGACGCTGGGAAGCCGTTCTTTCCTGCTCCTCTGCTGACTTTAATCCCTGGGATCCTGGATGAACAGGTGATGCGGCCAGACTCGGTTTGCACAGCCAACTCTTCCGCTCTGACTTGCCATCGCTGGCATTGACCGTCCTAACCAGATGGAGCCTGGGCACTAATGCTTGGGCTGCAGGGCTGGATCGCCACAGGGTGCCCTCCCTTCTGAATGCTATTCCTGTGGGTCAGCCACCGGTCTGCGCGAGAAATGCGGTAGCATGGTTGGGCTGTCCTCCTTGGTGGTTGTGAAAGTTTCATTGCCTTGAGTTATTTTTCCGTTTAGGTAGTCGGAACGAGCTGAAAAAAGGAGTAGTTAGTTTCAGGAAGCACAGTGTTCATGGTCCATAACGGCAGATTGATTGAGGGGTATATTTTGGGCTCCTTACTGTAGTTCTCCTCTTTTTCTTCCTTTCCCAGATCATCTCAAGCCATTCCTGGATGACTCCACGTTGCGATTTGTTGATAAGCTCTTTGAAGCTGTTGAGGAAGGGCGAAGCTCTCGCCACTCCAAGTCCAATAGTGACCGAAACCGGAAGAGAGAGTTAAAGGTGAGCCAAACTCCTGCTTGCTTTTGCTACCTTCTTATCCAGGCAGGGTAGTTGTCAGTTACTGGCAATCTTGCTTCATGATGTTTTATTCTTCCAGAGAAGGCCACGTGCTACAGTGCCTAAAAGTTCAAGAGAAAAAAAGAGTACCCCTTGTGTCTGTTTTCTTAGAGGTCTTCCTGTACCTTGACTTCTCTTCCTCTTAATTCTGCAGTCTGAAGCCATCAGAAATCTTACGGTGACGGTTATAGCAGCTTTGGAGTATCTTGTTTGTTGCTGTTGTATGAAACTGATTTGGACTAGAGGCAACATCAGGGCAGCTCAGGTTTGCTGAGGAAACTTGGCCTTAGCTGGACATTATTTATCTGAGTTTTGGAATGCCCATCATCTAGGTCCCTGCAGGATGTACAGACATAAAAAATCTAATAACAGACTAAAGCACATAAACCCCACAGAAAAAGATAAAAGTGGCGTCGTCTGGGTGCTCATTCCACAGGACAGATGCACAGAAAGCTGACAAATGTCTATACGTGCAGGATGCATAAGCTGTTCCAGGCTGGCTGCTGATTTTACTGGTTCCAAATTGTTGCAGGTGATCATATGGACAGGAAGGAGGCCTGTGCAGGAGAGGAGTTACTTGTCTCGTTGGTCCCAGGGATTCTGGAACTGTGGGTAGATTGGTAGGCATTTAAGACAGATGTTTTGGCTGACAACTCTTATCACCCACAGCTAGCATAGCTAGTGGTCAAGCATGGTGAGGATAGCGCCTCAAAACGTCTGCGTTAGATGGTCGTATTCCGCCCTTCAAAATAATTCTGGGTGCTGTGGTTATATGGTTGCTTTGAACTGAATTGCAGGCCCAGAAGAACTGGAAGCAGGGCACTTGTGCTTCACTCTGTAAGGAACACAGTTATTGGGATCAGACTGAAGGGGCACTTGGTTGATGTTCTCCTTTGGTAGCCAGCCAAATCTTACCTGGTCACCTCTAGAGTAAGAGAACTGCTCTCCTGTTCCACTTCTGCAGCCAATATTGCACAGTAGACTGCCCCAGAAGGAACTGATGGTCTGCCAGGAATTTGCCAGACCCGCTTTTTAAGGCCATCTAACATGATTGCCCTCACCACATCTTGTGGTTAATTTAAGAGCTGCTGCTGCACAGCTTGAAGAAGGCCCTCCTTTGGCCCGTCTTGAACATCTGGATGGGGTGGCACAGGGAAGTAGCTGCCAGACAGTATTCCTTAGTAAGCAGCGGGTAGCCTGAGATTTATATCTAGCTGTGTCTGTTTCCTCTTCCCTTTTTTCGTACTGTGCAACGTCTTTCTAATTGTTACACTAATTGGTTTTGTATTGATGGGTTAACGTCTTTTAGCGCCTTTGGATTTCTTCTGTTTTCCTCCTTTGCTTTTTCTTGAGGCCGTGTGGGAGCTGTAGTACTTTATAGGATGAACTATTTTCCAATCCCAGAAAACTGGGCTCCGAAATGAGAAAATACTCTAGTCTTCCGATATTTGGGGCCTCATGCTGCCTTTCCTCGACTCTGGACAGTCCCGTGCTTTGCAGCAGCAGCAGCAGCAGCAGCAGCAGCAGCAGCAGCAGCAGCAGCAGCAGCAT